TGTGTGTGTGTGTGTGTGTGTGTGTGTGTGTGTGTGTGTGTGTGTGTGTGTGTGTGTGTGTGTGTACATTCGCCTGTCCAAGTTTGTGTGCTAGCTTCAGTGACTTGTGCAAATGGACATCTGGATCATGTAGAAGCGAGTGCTGACACTAGATAAGGCTGTTTATAATTACTGCAGTGCTAATCATGAAACAGGATAGCAGAGTCAGACACAGAGTAGGAAAACACTGAACTGATGAGAGACATGAGGCTAGCAGCTCTGAATGTGTGTTCTCTCSGAGAGAGGAGGACATGAGGGAGGAAACACCTTTCTAATATGAGATGTGAGGCGCTAACGCTTCAGCTTTAGCTTTGATTCAAAGCTAAAAACATAAACGCTGTTGGAATAGCTCTCAAACTGGCTGCAAAAGTCTCCTCACCGTTGACATTTGTCCTGCGGGCGATTTCCCAGAAGACCAGGCCAAGAGCCCAGATGTCTGTTTGCTTATAAGACTCAAAAATGTCCACACGGATTGTCTCATCCAGCACCTCAGGAGCCATGTAGCGCTTGGTCCCTACACGAGGATTGTTGCCAACGTCCAGGTAGTCATGAGACTGAGAGTGGATCACAGCCAAACCTGAGGAAATCATGCATTTAGATGGGTTTGATGGAACTACACACAGCAGACGTTTGGACGCACATGACTGTGTTGTCTTCATTAGGAGTCACTTTTACCTAGATCAGCGATGCAGCACTGCCCGTTTCGCTTCACCAGGATGTTTCTGCTTTTCAGGTCCCKGTGGGCTATTGCCGGTTTCTCCTGKGAGCTGACGATCTCAGTGTGGAGGTGGACCAGGCCGCAGGCCACAGACAGACACATCCTCAGGCAGCCCTCTGGCTCCATGCTGCTGTACTGCAGGAAATCGTAGAGGGAACCCAGCTCGTGAAAGTGAGTGACGAGCCACAACTGGGTACTGGAATTCTTGGACGTCATGTCCGAGGCAATGAAACCTAAAACCAGGAATAATGGAGGCAGTTTAGTGGTTTGCTTTGTTTAAACTTACACCTGTTCACAGAGACAGAATCGTAATTTGTCTCAGTCGTTAGCTCCCATACCCAGGATGTTTTCATGACACAGCTGCACAGTATTGTAGATCTCGGTCTCCCTGAACCACGACTGCTCGTCCCTGGAGGAGAATATCTTGACAGCTACACTCTCCCCCATCCACGTCCCCCTCCACACCTCACCATACCTGCCTTTACCTGGAAGCAGAGCGGCGCAGTGACACATCTGCAAGACCTAAATAACTGCAACTTTACAAGAGCTGCAAGAAAGAAGACGGACCGACACACTCGACAAGTGTGATTTGTCGAGCCATGGTTCTTTGGACCAGATATGGAAGTCCTGTTCCGCTCCCTGATGTGCAAAACTCATCAAAAATATCCTGGATAAAAGAGAAACAGACACAAACAGATAAATTAACCCCTTTAATGTTGTTCAGCCTCAGGACAAACATCTGACGTCTCTTACGCCATATGTGGGGTCGTCTCCGTTGGGGACTTTGATCATAGCACCGTGGGCCTCAGGGTCTTTCAGCTTGCAGGCTACTCGTCGGAAGCGCAGAAACAGCACAAAGATGCAGACACTCAAGGTCGTGAATAAGAGCAGCAAGGACACGGCGACCCACAGCGATGACTGTGGGAATTCTGGAGGGGCTGTTGTTGTTGGCTCTCCATCTGGATAAACACAAACACAAACCTTCCGTCACGTCCATGCACATATTTTTTTTGCCTTTATTTCTCAAAGAAGATAAGGAATACTCATCACAGATGTTAAGTTACTACACTGTATGTTGCTTTAATAAACACATATACTGTATAAACATTTTTAAAATGGCAGTTTTATTACATTTGGGTAAGTGTGCAGCGCTATGTCGCCCTCTGGTGGTGTCAACAAAAAAATTGTGGCCCCTTCCATCATTTAAGTTGCCCATCCCTGTAGTAAATTAACCATGAAAGGTAAGACACTTTGTGGGATATATATTTTTTAATTTACTGTTATTTAACCAGGCAAGTCCCATTGAGATCTCAGATCTCTTTTTCAAGGGCAGCCTGGGCCTGAAGGCAACCAATTGTACATGTATTTGGGGTGGGGGAAACCGGAGTACCTGGAGAAAACCCACGCAAGCACAGGGAGAACACGCAAACTCCGCACAGAAAGACCCCAGGTCTGAACCGAGGATCGAACCCAGGACCTTCTTGCTGTGAGACGTCGGTGCTAACCACTGTGCCGTCGTGCTACCAAAAATTTAKATTTAATTGTGACTCACTGGATTTAAAAAAATAACTAATACTTTTGTTTACCTAAACTTGTATTAGGTATTTTTGCAGAACGCCTGGTTCTGATAATTTAAAACCAAATAATGTGTTTGCAGAACTGCACCCTTCTCAGCAACCTGCTGCAAATGTAATAAAAATGTTTCATTTTCTAGTGGTTTACAGAAGAATGCCACACTGTATGGCTAGAAGTTAAATTAGTTAGGAAGTTTCCTTGTAGTTATAAAATAAGTATTATTTCTAGGATATTTTTAGTCAAAGGTACAAAGAGCCTCAGGTGGCCCGAGCCACAAGTTACAGAACAGTGTATTTGCACKAAATGACCACAAGGGGGAAGCAGTTGCTGTTTAAGAAGAAACTACCAGTCCAAAATGCAAAATGCGGCAAAAATTTCCTGAGAAGATTCAAACTGAACATTGGTTCCTCAGATATGATAGATGTGATGTTCAAATACAGAAGAACTATGTTTTATTTTGGATACTGACTAATATTTGGAGGTGGTGTGACGAAGGCGTTGCACTTGGTCTCTTTGCAGCAGTGAGCGAAAATGCCTTTCATGGATGAGCACTGCTCCCTGTAAATCTCTTTGGGGAAACATCCCCATTCCTCACTGCCCTGAACCCAGGTGTAGAAACAGTAGTCTCCTCGGCACGTTCCGTTGCTGCATATGCCTTTGTTGTTCTTGCAGGTGCACAGCAGCTTCTCATCTTCTGGCTCGTCAAGGCTGTCTGAGGCAGAGAAACGAAAGAAAACGACAGTATTACACAGACGTGACAACAAAACAAACAAGCACAATAATTGTTTTTAAATGGAAAATACTCAGTGAAAGACAAGAAAGCTTCATGCTTAAAACTCTGAGACTTCCCTTACTCCAAGAAAATGTTAATTATCGAAAATAACAGACCAGAGTTGAGTTCGGGGAAACCACCGGTTGTAACAGTAAGAAAACATGTTAACCTCATTTCCTTTCCAYCACAAGACACAGCATCAACAACCARACCCTGTGGTTCACCAGGAGYGGTAATTTTGGTTTAAAATGACAAACTGCACACTTTGAGTGGGAAAACAGAAAGTAAACTTCAAGTTTTTACATTAAATTTGAAGATGTTTAAGCTTCACTTTGGATTAGAAATACAATGATTTSATGTTCAAAGTGTGCCTTAAATGTAATTATGAGTTTTTCTATGAGACATGAGMATACATTATCTGCAGCGATAGCAGGTTATTGTTCAAAAAAAGTGTCAGGAGCATAATTCAAAAGACATTTAACATTGTTAAAAGCACCACAGGCAGAGTGGATAAAGATCAACCAATTAAACTGCTTTTAGAAAATCTTAACCTGCCACTCATTTACTTGGACTAATCCTTCTCACGTCAGACAGGCAGTAAACAACAAGCTTGTCTGAACTTGCTGCTTGTGTTTAGAAGTAGGAATAAAGAGTCCAAAGAACTACCAAACTGAGTCAGATTTAAAAGAGAAAAAGGTAAAGCTTCTTGTAAAACATGAACTCACCTGCATGAACGGCAGAAGTCCAGAGAAAAACTCCTGCAAACACAACAGTGAGCAGAGCGGAGCTTCCCATGTCTGAAACAAAACGCAAAGCATGGGGAAAAAAGGTTAAAAGAATTCCTGTTGTTTTACATTCAGAACAGTCAAAATCATTTGAAATTGAAATATTAAGAGAAAAAAAAGCTTCTTATCCCGAATACATATGGTACTTTAATAGCTGTGTCCATGAGGAGTTGAAAAAGAGTCTGAGCTAGGCCTCTGAGGATGCTGTGAGGTCAAAAACAACAGACGGAGGGTCCAGCCTGTCTGCCTGGGTTTTAATTGCATTGGTGGGAAAAAAAGGGGGCTTAGGGGGAAACAAGTATGTCTGTGTGTGTGTGTGTGTGTGTGTGTGTGTGTGTGTGTGTGTGTGTGTGTGTGTGGCTGTGCTGCCCGGGCTCCAGGCCTGACGGCTCCATTACTGTCCTGCTCGCAGAGTAAATATTGATGGCTGTGCTTCCTGCCATTGAGTGGCCCCACCCGGCTGGCCGGCGAGACTCAGGCTCGGCTCATTGTTTAAAGCTGCAGCTAGTCTGAATCGTCCAATCTGAGCCAGTTTAGAACGTCACATTTACTTGAAATATGAATTAAAATGAGAATAAAGCAGCTGAAGATGACAGAAGCTGAGGAAATTGAATGTTAATTGTCTGAACAAATTACACCGGGCTGATCACACCAGTCCAAATACTGTGGGTTTGAATATATTTCATATTGTTGGAAAAATACAGTTAAACTATGGGGTGCCATTTGTAAAGTTACACCGTCAAAAATTACCACCAATATTTTTGTTTTATTTAGACTTTTATAAGAAAAAAAGAACAGATTTATTTTTCAAAGTCAGTTTTTCACCATATGATTCATACATTTACAAATGTCATAGTTCAAAATTAAATACAAACTAAATATTTAACTTGCAACTTAAATATTTAGTTAAAAAGCTAAATATTTAGCTCAAAACTAAATATTTAAACCATAAGTTAAATATTTAGCTTGTTAACTAAATATTAAATTTTTTAAGTTAAATATTTAGTTTATAAACTATGATATTTGTAAATGTATGAACTAAACGGTAAAAAACTGACTTTCAAAAATAAATCTGTTCTTTTTTTCTTATAAAAGCTAAATAAAACATAAATATTGGTGGTAATCTTTGACTGTGTAACTTTACAAACGGCACCCCATATTAAACTGGCTTTTAATGATGAAAATAATTAATGTGAAGCAACATAATCTCTGTTTCATCAATCTCTTCTGTCAACACTAACTGTCAAATAAAGGTGAAGTCCTGTTCTGATCAGTGATGTTTCATTGGACTTTTGTTCTGAAATGTCACACTTGGCTTTAGAAGCTGTTTCCTCACAGGCTCAGGAATGACAGGTATTTAACAAAGGTTATTAAAAGTTCATGGGTAACGTTAAGAAGAGATCATAAGTGATAGGAAAGCGCGCCATGATAATTTCATAAAAATGCCATTTTACTGTTTGAGTTTTGCTCTCTCATAAAAACACACGAAACATATCCGATACTCCAAACTTCTGCTGAACCAGTTGGCAGGAAAAAAACAAAATCGAGCATCTATTTCACCGTTTTCATGATTTTGGCCTGTTTGGGCAAAAATTGAACACTGAGCTGAATGTAGAGCATGACGAGCAGGAGTCAGAAGTTTCATTTAAGAAAAAAAAAAAAAAAGAAACTGTGGCTTAATTGACGAATTGACAGCACATTTCACTCTCAGACAAGCGTGGTTCAGAATCAAAGAAAAAGAAATGTAGATCATAATTCTTTAAGTCACTTTAAAATTTAAAATTAAATACCTGCCTGAATGTAGATTTTCACACCTCCAGCGCATCTAATCGWACATATTAAAAAAAGCCTGAAAATACTTTTTCTCCTCTCATCAAATTAAGCAACGTGTCTTTTCTTCCAGTAACTGAACTTCACACATCTGGCAGTGAAACCTGTAAACATCAGCACAAATCTTTGAATAGCCTCTTAGTTTTGATGCGCGTAGTTGCATCCTTTTGAGCATGAACTACAGGAAGCTACTGTACGCATTCGCTGTTTCACGTCACTGAACACATATACACATATTCATGGTGACATTTAAAGGCCGAGCTTTCTTTGAAGAAATGCACCCCCCCCCCCCGCCCACGTTTCATGCCAGTTTAAAACTAAATCGTCTCATGCTGAGGAGAGACAAAGTTATAGTTGTGCTGAGATCTCACAAGATACATTAGCACTCAAAGCACTGAGGATACCGCTACAAACTTTAGCTCAATATTCAATTCAAAAATACTTTATTGAACCCAGAGGGAAATTAGATGTAACTCATTTAACTAAAGTTATTGCAGATGGTGATGGCTGTGGGCAGGAAAGATCTTCTGTAGTGGTCGGTATTACAACAAAATTGAAGAATTGAAGAGGATGTTCTTGATTTTATGTAAAATCTGATATATCTATTTTTATACCTATATATCTAAATCTATCAATATCAGTAAAACCGACTGAATAGCCATTTCTGTCTTTAAGGTCACTTAGCTGTGGCAGCCATCTTGAATAGGGTTGACTCTAAAAGTTAAATCAGTTATAGATCTGCATCTATTGATTACTTTCTAATGATTTTATACGTCAAATGGTTCATGAGATACTTAGTAGACTAATGCACACAGGCAAAAACATTACTGCTTTTAGTGGCAGGCAATAAAAAGAATATCTTGACTCAATAAAGTCTAAATCCACCAGTAATCTGGTTGCAACATATTACAGAACCTATCTTTAGACACGCCTTCTGTCAGGTTCAGTGTAATGTTTGAAAACTCATTGTTCTAACATGAGCAGCCCATGCTTCCGGAGTGCATATTTCTGTGGTGGTAAATCTGTGTTGAGGTTAGCTCCACCCACAGAATGAACTCATCCTTCATAAACTTTATATCGTTACTTAAAAGCTGCTGTCATGTTAGAGAGAAGAAACCCTCCACCTCAGCACATGTGCAGCAGTCTTCGCCCCCGCTTGTCTCCACTCTGTCCAAAGCTACACTCACATGACCTTTGGGGATAAAACTCTGTGTCATCTCATCCTCTCATCTCCACTTGGGGAAGCAGATCTCTCATTCCATCTGGATGACTGTTATAGCAGTGGATTGTGGGGGGGGTTGGCGCAACACGATCGTTTTCATCCGCTCCCTTTGCTGGGCCTCATTATACTTAAAAAGAAAAAACTTTTTTACGAAAAAAAAATCTTAAAACTTAAATTAAGCTGTTTCGTTTTTAACGACTTATAATGAAAACCTAAAACTTGCAACTGAGCCACACAGCTTCATGTAAAAAAAAGAGATAAACCAGCTGTGCTTCAGTATTTTTCCTGCAAAATTTTTCTTGCATCACATTTGTAAGAAAAGCCAGTCTGAGAAAAGGAAATGACCACTTCTCTTCTGCAGAGCAGGTTTTGCTGCCAAGAAGGGGAAAACAATAAAAGGAAACAACAAGCACAAGTTTGAATAATGTGCACCTGCAGCAGTCACCTGGAAAGATGATCTGCAGTCCGAAAGGTTAAAAAGGGCAAAAGTTTCCTAATGTGTGTGGGTGTGTTTTCGAGCAAGATGGGTGGTAGAAGAAGAAAATAAAAGAGGAGGACTAAAGATACGGTCTAACTTATCTGGCAAATAAACAAATTCTTTGCATGTATTTTAACAGTAATAAATGTTTTTTAATACAATTTTTTAAGCCAAAAGGCAATGGTTAGTATAATATTTACATCCTATCACTGGCAAAATGTTAGAAACTGAAGTAAAACATAGCCCAAAGGAAATCAGCAGCCKTTTAAGGTCATTATGAACACATAGTGATGCAAAAAGCAGCATTTTCAATCATAAATAATGTCTGAAACAAACATACCAACTAATAATTTTGTAATCCCCTTTGCAAAACAACATTGCTAACATGCTAAAATGTGTAGCCTCCATATTTACTTCTGCTATATATATATATAT